GGACCCGGTTAAAGTTAATGTTCAGGTTTAACTCTCTGTTAAGTCCTTTTTTTTCTTCAGAAAGCTATTTCTGATCTTTTGGGGTTCTGACATCTCCTTCTACAGCCCAGGAGGAAGAGCCCAGTGCCACCGGGGTGCTGGCAGGACCCTCTGCTCCCTGCGCCCGCAGACGGAGCTGGGGCCACCCCAGAGAAGATGCCCTGGGTCCAGCTCCCGGCGATGCTGCCACTCATTCTCAGCGGTGGTTTTCTCTTGGGCAACATAGCACGGGAAAGCTCGGGGAGTGAAGTGGATGAGCATGTTACGCAGGGGTGGGAGGAAAGAGGAGAGCCAGGAACCCAGCTGGTCTTGGACAAACACTCTCCAACTCAGGCTCCAGCTTACTGTCCTGGTGCGACCAGCCGTGTCAGCTGCCGTCCCCCTCTTACAGCAATCTCCTCTTGGAATATTTTCCTTTCTCCATTGGGCACCAAATAACCGCTGGAGTGTGGTGTCTCTCAGCTTAGCATCTTGGAGAGAGTTTTCTGTTCCGCTTTGAGCTATTTAATCATTTTGTTGGGCTTCTACCCAAAATAATAAGGCCCTTTATGTTGTCTTTGGGTCAGGTTCTCTCTCTCACTCATGCTTTTTAATTCCCATAAAATCCTAACGTGTTCCTGCCAAAAGTATAATAGTAGGGCCATGAGTGGTGGTGTGTGTAGAGTACTGACTCCACGGTCATAAAAGTATGAGAACAGCAACAGTATTTAGCAAGGAGAGACAATGGGAGTGGAAAATAACGTTCATATGTTCATTCAGCTTCTCTTGTGCAGTCAAAGGCAGCTGGTGAGCACTGAACGCATTCTAAAATTAGCAAAAAAACTTGAAGGAAACATGTGAAAATGAAATGCTCTGTTAAAGCTATCTGTGGATGCCCTTGAATGCGCAGCCCTTCAGGTGACCAAGGGGACCATCCCAGCCGGCCCCTCGCTCGCGCTGCCTGCAGCCTAAGCTTGCTGAGATCCTCATCTGAGGATCTTTGGGCTTTGGGATATTTGTTTTTCACTTCTATCCATCATCAACCCAGGAGACTTCTGAGTGCCTTTTACCCTCAGATGAAGGCTCAAGAAAAGCTTTAGTTCCAGTAAATTACACAACACCGCTGATTTTGATTAACGCTCAGTAAAGCACCAAAGCCTCATGTACCACGATGAACGACTAGAAGGCTTTTGTTCAGAGAAAGCCTGGCAGACAGTTGGCGTTAAACACTGAACTACTATAAGTATGATCTTTTGACAGAAAAATAAATGTTGGGACCAGACACTCTGAGAAGTACCTAATTTCAGCTGCCTGACAACTGCGTTCGTTAAAAAAGAATTTCGAAGCTATACTTAGCTAGTCCATCAGCTGCCTTGGAAAGCCACCAGGACCATAAAGTTCCTCCTGAGCTCTCGTGGGTTGCTTCATCACCTCATTGCAGGATACCGGCATTAGCCCATGTTATCACTTGCAGAAATTACCCAAAACTCCTCAAAACCTGGTTTGTGCCGAATGGGGGATCTGTGAAACTTGGCAACTTCCAAACGCGCAGAGTCTGAAGGCGCCGGCGCTGAGACGGACTCGGCTTCTGTGCGATTCAGGAGCAAGGGCATCAGCAGAGGCGGTTGTAAAACCTGGTTGGACTCCCTGGGAAAAAGCTGATACTTTGGGCTTTGCAAATAACGCCAGAGCAAAAGGGAGCTCTGGGGAGATGTGCAGCACGGGCAGAAACTGGCCAGGAGATGGTTTTCAAACCCGGATAAGAACCAAACCAGCCCCCAGTGCAAAAGAGCATGCAGCTGAGGAAGCACTGGGCTGGTGAAGTAACACTTGGTAGGCGTTGGTCCAGAAAACGTGACTTACCAAACAAGATCGAAATGGTTCCAGAGAAAAGGCAGTGAGGAAAAGTTTAAAATAGTACGTCCCTGCATTTTGACTCCGTGTTCAGCTGTTGTATTAGCGATCCAATACCTCCATCTGCAGCAAAACACAGACTGAGGGTCAGGAGGAAAGAGAAGCTGTTGTGAACCAACAGCTACCAGAAGGAACTGGGGCCTGGGATGACAGGGAACATTTTTGCCTTTATGGTTGTGTTTTCCTCTCCTAGGAAATCTCTTTGTTCTGATAGAGACCCCAAGGGGACATGTCTGAGAGAAAGGGATGAAGCCTACGTACCAAGCAAAGCTGGTTGAAATGGCTGGCTGTGTTTGCAGCAGTAGCGATGAAGTCTTTCTTTCCAAGGTTCAGCTTTTAGCAGTCCAACTTCCACACACTTTTATCTTCTGCAGGCTTTTGGGATCCGCTTGAAGGAATAGCTTCCCCTCCTTGCAGCTGCATTTGCAAATTTACATACTTAAGAGCTTACAGCCGAATGTTTAGAGATGACATGTATACGTGTGTGTGCGCGCACGTGTACATTGCCAAGAGTTGCAATCCTTAATATCTCCCAGGTCACTCTTTAAGCACCACGGCAAACTCGCGCAGTATGATACCGAGTCCATCCTAATGTACCAGTAGCACAACTCCATACTAAATAGACATTTTTACAATCTATAAATATATATAAACAGTAACTATATAATACTTCCCATAATAAAGCTATGGGAATACATCACAATTAATTTCCTATTTATACCGTGCCCCGTCTTTTGCTGTTCATAAATCCACTTCTCTACAAGCACTGCAGAACTTTGCATATGAAAGACAGCCTATTCATGGGAGATTTTAAATGTGGTTTCTAGGCCAGAAACATTCAGATAAATGTGGATATACCCGGAATACGTGCGGGACTCACACCCGCCACGGCACCTCCGGATCCCACGGCCACGGCTGCAATGGCAGTTCTCACCCTCCAACATTCACAGCGTCTTTCTCTTAGCAGTCTGATGATGCTTTCAGGTTTTGGCACAGCGTCTGCTTAAACACGGGTCATGACCACACTGTATTGCAAAGTGAGGTTCCAATACATCTCCGTGCATTCCCCCAGTCCCCCGGGAGAGCAGGGGAGCCCCAGGGGAAGGAGCACCCTCACGACATGGTGCGTGTTGCTCCTGGACGGCTGGTAGTGCCCCATGCCCAGTTACACCCTTCTGCATCAGCCAGAGCTTTGCCTTTCCCTGTTCACCACTTTTATTGAGATGCAAAGGTGCACAATCATGGTATAATGCAGACTCAAAGTTCCTTTTTTCCATATGCTCTCAATCCCCTGCTAACCGCCCAGGCGGTGAAAGCTCCTCTCCCACAATATCTAACTTTTGTTCTGATCTTTAGCAGGCGTGCGCCTTGCCAGGTAAGATGCAGAGTGCCAAGGTATGAAGCAATATTTGCTATCTGGCGTGCAGTACGTGTTGCAATACCTAGTCATAATTGCGTTTGAAAGTTATAATAGTGGAGAGAGTTATTAACCTGGGCTCCCTTCCTGCCTCTTGTGGGTTTCAATCAGACGCTGAGTGTTTTTCAAACTGGTTTTTTTGAGTGTATAATTTTAGTACGTACGTCAATAGAAAGCAGAAAGAAAACAGAATTTACTATGATAAAATTAAAAGGAAAGAGTCCCTACCACCCAGCTACACCCAGCGAGGAGACCACCACCACCCCCCCACCTCCCACGCTGGAGCAGCATCACCTTTCGGGCTGTGCCGCTGCCAGAGGTGTGAATCGCCTGCCCCGCAGCCAGCCCGGGTACCGGCCGGGGACCACCGGGCTCCCTCCCCTCCCTTTAAAAGCCTGGCAGCAGCGGCGTGTGCCAAGCACTCGGTGCCGCCGCTCCTGCCATACCCCACCGCATCTCTTGCAGCCCAGCCGCCGGGAGAGGCTGAGAGATGGCCGAAGGGGAAATCACGACCTTCACCGCCCTGACCGAAAAGTTCAACCTTCCCCTGGGGAACTACAAGAAACCCAAACTCCTGTACTGCAGCAATGGGGGCCACTTCCTCCGGATCCTCCCAGACGGCAAAGTGGATGGGACCAGGGACCGAAGCGACCAGCACAGTAAGCAAACCCGACGGGGCTTCTTGGCACTCCTCCTTGCTCCTAGGATTTTATCGGCCAGGAAGGGGGGAGCTGGGGAAGACGGGCTCTATATGGAGCTCTCTGTCCTCCTGGTGGCAACACACCTTCCAGGAGTCAGCACACGCGCCAAACACACCTAAAGCCTGTACGCAGAGCCTGGGGAGGCACAGTATGTACGCTAGTTCACATCTGCAGAAGCGTTACATCTGAAACTGGTCATCAGCTTAATCGCAGGCAGGCAGACCGTACAGGACCGAAGTGCTAATTGCAGCACGGCTGGCTTATGCGGCAAGCTGGCAGCTGGGAAAAAAGGCTGAGGAGCAGCCTCACATCCTACACACACAGACGCAGCCATCACACGTTAGTCTATGGCATCTTTGCATTTGCTCTGCGTTAAAAGATTCAGCACAACAGTGGGGCTGTGCGAGCGCGGTGTTCCCAGGAGCGCGCTGCCGCTGTGCGTCTGCCTACGTGAAGTCGTCAGCCCGAGCAGGAGGTCGGGCCCTGCTGCCTCTGCGTGCAGGACGGATTTTAGTGTATGTTCTGCACACAGCGTCCCTTTGCCTTTGGGGAACTTCCTTCTCCCCTTATGCAGCAAATTAAATTCTTGCAGGATGCAAAAGCCCAACAGAGGCAAGAGTCAGGTGAAAGAGAGTTATTTTGGGACGTACAGCTTTAGAAATGCACTCATGTTACCTTTCACTTTTTTCCCAAAAAAAGTATGGCTTATTGCATGCTGAAACAGTTACGATAGATTTTACGTGCATCTGTGTGTCACAGAGATTTAACGGGCCATCTGCCTCCAGAGCCTCCTCCCGCCCATCCCCATTCCCTGCCCGGTGATGCCGGCAGCTCCGGCCCGTGGGACGTGGGGACCTGCTGCTGGGATGAACTGGCCGCGCAGATGCCAGCACTTGTCCTACCACTTGCGCATCCCACTGCCTTTCTAGGAGCACATTCGTTCTCCGTAATTGGCTTCAGATTTACTCTAGGAAGCTGGCAGGACTCGCTTGCCAAAAAGTGCCGTTTTTGTAGATGCTACTATAAAGTGCTGCGGACTATCTGACGTAGGGAAACCTTAATATAAAAAAATCAATGATACTATCCTGTACATCAAGGAAAGGTGCATGTTTGTCCTGCTCAGTAGCTGTCCATGTCACCAAAGGCATCAAGAGCTCTTTCCC